TCTGACCATGACCCAGAATGATTCTAGTCAATCCGAATCCAAGTCTTTAGAAGCGGCCGCTTCTTCGACGATGACCCAGAGTGAGTCTAGTCAATCCACATTTGAATCATCAATTCCGGCGGTTTCTCTGACCATGACCCAGGATGATTCTAGCGAATCTGCAGCTAAATCTTCGCAAACGGCCGCCTCTCTGACCTTGTCCCAAAATATGTCCAGTGAATCTGTATTCGAATCATCAGCCACAGCAACTTCTCTGACCATGACCCAGGATGATTCTAGTGAATCCGAATCCAAGTCTTCAGAATTGGCTGCCTCTCTGACCCTGAGCGATGCTAGTGAATACCTACTCGAGTCTGCAGACAGGGCCATCTCTCTGACCATCACCCAAAGACAAATGTACCAAACAAGATCAAACTTCGGCGCGAATTTAGGCAGTGTGTTTTTGAGAGAAAAATGGATATACCCCTCGTTTTTCAAAGGGGAGCAGAAGACAGAATTTGACATCATATCAAGTTTCAAGAAAAACAAAGAAAAGGGAAGAAGAGAGATGGAGGCTCACTGGACTTCATATTTCCTGGATGAAGACTGGGTGGAACTAACTAGAAACAAAGTCAACTCTTTGAGGCTTCCCATAGGATTCTGGAACATTGATGGTGGGAAGTATACAACTGGAACAATCTTTGAGGAATATTCAGAGATGTACCGGAACTCTTGGCTGATTATCAAATCTCACTATATTGTACCTGCGGCCAGAAGAGGAATTTCTATCTTAATAGACGTTCATGGGGTCCCTGGTGGTGCCAACGACAATGATCATAGCGGAGCATTCTATGGTGGTGCAACATTCTGGACCACCCCATCATTCCAAGAGCTCTTTATTAAAGCAGCAGTGTTCGTTTTTGAAGATTTGAAAGAGTATGATAATATTTCGGGAATCCTGTTAATCAATGAGGCTTCCTATAATTTTAATCTGCAACAGCAGAATTTCTATGCTGCGGCAATTAATGCCATACGTGAGAAAGAAAAGACGATCCCTGTGGTTATCTCTGATGGCTGGAATGCAGATTCATGGATCCAGTGGGTTAGCAGCAATCAGAACCCCAATGCTCCAGCGGGCATAGTCGTGGACCACCATGTTTACAGAACCTTTACTGACAAGGACAAAGAACGATCAGCAGACGAGATTATTGCCGACTTGAATCACGATTTGCTTCCCAGCGTGAACAATGACGGGAACGATGTGGATTTCATGGTTGGTGAATGGTCATCTGTTATGGATGGCCAGACATGGGCAAGGACTAATGGAGTCATCACCCCTTCAGACGATAATGACCCTCGGCGTAGGGAGCTTGTTGCAGAATTTAATAGCAAGCAGACGGAACTCTTCAGGAAGAGAGCCAGCACCGGATCATACTTCTGGACGTACAAGTTTGAGTCAGGCTATGGGGGCGAGTGGGATTTCCGTCAACAATTGGGCCGTGGGTTTGAAGCTCCTCAAGTATCTGTCCCAGATGATTCAACTTTTAAACGCACACTTGCAAGAGACTATACCGCACATAAAAACTACTGGGACAGCCAGTACCCCAACGGAAAATTTGAACACGAACGATACAAGGAGGGGTTCGTTACAGCGTGGGAAGACGGTGTCACATACGCGAAGGCCGGCGCTTTGGTTGGCAGAAAGCACGCCATAAAATCTGTTAGGTTGCAAGAGCACTTGCAGAGAAAGGGTTACCTGGAAAACATATGGGAGTGGAAACAGGGCTTCGACAAGGGCTTGGAAGAGTTCAACAAAAATGCTATTTAAAAGACCAAAGTAGCACAGGCCTGAAATAGACTATTCTGACTTAACAGGAATCAAAACTTGTATATTTTAAAATAAACGCTTGAATTACAGGTGTTTGTATCATTGCATCGAGTTAACTGTTTTGGAAGTCGTGTGGCCGAATGGATGAAAAGCAATCTTTGATGGTGGAATCTTGAGACAATTATTCTTAAGTTGACAGCCTTATTAGATACCAAGCGAAAGTTTGTTACGATGTCTTGACATGTTCTTCAGCATCCTTAGTTGTACTTATACTTTATCAGATTAGCGCGATGTTTACATTAAAATTTTAGTCCCGCAATTTTGAATTGCTCTTATCTTTAGTCCGGAAGTTTGGAATGTTGCGCTTATCCTGTGTCACTTCAGAAACCCAAATCGTTTACGGATAGCTCAGTTCACTATCTAAGAAACCCTTTAAAGCATCATGTCAAGCTTTACGTTGCATTGCTCGGACGAAAGTAGAATGAGCCTTTTTCAGCGAACTGTGTCCATCCATTTAATTTATCAATGCCTTATTACACAGCAATGCATTTTATACTGCACTACGAAAAGTTTTGGTCCCAGAAGCGACAGCTAATTAGCAGAATAGAACTAAGGTCCAGCACAGGCCGGACCCGCAGCTTTATAAACTCATAAAGATGATACTTCACTGTAGAATCAAAAAAAATCGTTCACAGCGAAAGGTACGAGAGTCCGCTGCCACAAGCGATTTTGCACACTTGGCTGAGACAATAGCCATCCGATTTGGAGTGATGAGCAATTTGCTAGTAGTCAATGCAGTGTTTGATATATCTTGCCAGGTTGACTTATGATCTTCTTTATTTGCCTGAAATACCCCGCGCGGTGCTCTGAGCAATGATCAAAACATATCAAAAAGAGTATACGATGGAACCGAAAAATGCATCAGTTTACGATTTTTTTCAGTCTCTGCAGAAAGCTTGTCTCTTTTGTCCAATGAAGAGTGGTATACCATCCTTAAACTGTTGTAAGATATATCTTTTCCCAGAAATCGATGACCGTATCTAAAGAGAAGCCATTGGTAGTATATTCATTATCATTTCGAGCATTGCAAGAGGAATCCGGGGCGAAGTAAAAATGGAGGCAATCTACTACCAACGCCAACAAGTTCTTTTTATAGGAGTATTTCTTTCCTGCGAGAAATTCGGCGATTTGACACTAGTGCAATTTGCACGAGAACACTCTCCAAACATAGTCGGCCTACACTCACCGCGCATTTACTTAATTGATGTATGTTGCCTGGCCTCTAGTCGCAGAATGCGTTTTACTGCTTCAAAAATTTAGTTCGCTGTGTTGCAGGCACCGCTTTGCCGTCAAAGAGCCTGTACCAGAAGCACCCCATAGCCCCAACTCTTCAACTGGCTACCTTTCAAAGGAGCATTTTTTAGCAGTTTATTTCCGGAAGACCAATCCTTTAATCCAGCTAGAACATAATTCTGTCATATTCAACGCACAGCGTCCTAATGCTGATCTTAATAGAACTTATGCATGCATTTCAAAAGCTCGCAAACGAATATTTTTAATGCTGGCGCTCTCTCTCTTCCGCCCTATTGTCCAAATTCCGCGAGGCTGAATCCAGACCAGTCCTGATTTGACTGATTTAATCTGCCGAGTCCACGTGGCCGGCGAGATTTAGAGGCTTATCATCCGAGTCTCGCCAGAGCCGATCTCCAGCAGCCTCGCCGCTAAAACCAGCTGCAACAGAGCTGGAAGAAACTAAAGCAAGCCACAATAAAATAAGCCAAGTAGAACTAAAAGACCCAGAACTAAAAGAACCGGGACTAAAAGAACCAGAACTAAAAGAACCGGGACTAAAAGAAGCAGAACTAAAACACCCAGAACTAAAAGAACCAGAACTAAAAGAACCAGAACTAAAAGAACCAGAACTAAAAGAACCAGAACTAAAGAACTAAAACACCCAGAACTAAAAGAACCAGAACTAAAAGAACCAGAACTAAAAGAACCAGAACTAAAAGACCCAGAACTAAAAGAACCAGAACTAAAAGAACTAAAACACCCAGAACTAAAAGAACCAGAACTAAAAAAACCAGAACTAAAAAACCCAAAACTAAAACACCCAAAACTAGAACATCCAGAACCAAAAGAACCCGAACCAAAAGGAACCTGGACCAAGTAAAAGTCCCCCGAAACCAAACCGAAAGATACCTGGTCCTGCACACAGCGCCGGCCCATCGTGGTGCTCACCAAACTGGAAACCACCTCGATTCAGCACCCCAGAGCATGAGACCAGCCTCGATTCTTCGAAGGCTGCAGACTCGGTGGAAACCCAAAAATGCGCCCAAGCACAAGCTGCACAACGCCGCCGGATTGGGCCTGCGGCTCCCGAAAAAGGTCGAGCAGGCCGCACACGAGGCACTCAAACAAAGACCTTACTATGATCCCGCCAACAGCACCCTAGATTTCCGCAAAAGCAACCGCACGCTTCTCCGGGAAATCACGGCGCAGAGCACCAGCCGGACCCGCGTGCGCGTCAAGGGCCCGGCGGAAAAATGGGCACGGCTGCTCGGCAACACCAGCCAGGCGGGCGCCCTCAAAGACGACGCTAGAAATGCCATCACCGCCGCGCGGATCTCGCAGGCGTCCAGCCTCCGGCCGCTTGCGGTGGGCGACGTGGTGATTCTCCACGAAAAAAGCACTCTTTTGCATCTCGTGGTGGCGGCGCCCGGCACGTTGGCGCTGGACGTGTACACGTTCATAAACCACGAGGGCGAGGTCATGTTCGGCACCAAACACCACGTCCGCATGCGCATTCCGGGCGTGTTGCCCAGCGCGCTCGCCGAGAAAATGCGCTTGGTGGTCCTCGAGGCAAAGATGCCCGGCGTGGCGCCGGTGGGCGTGCCTGACTGTGTGTTTTCACGCCTGAAGAAGGCGCCCTCCACGGGGCCACGTGACGCGGCGGCCCCCCTGCTCCTGCCGCTGGAACCGGCGCCGGCATCGTTGGACGCCCAGGCACGTGACTTCACCGTGGCCCAGGCCTCGGCGCAGCTCCTTGCAGACACCAGCGTCAACACGTACGTGGTGCCAACGACTGCCCGTGCCGTCTACGCACCTCTGTTCACGGAGATCTCCATCGACGCCTTCCGCAAGATCCCGGCCTTTAGCCACAAGCTCGACTACTTCCACCGCGTGCTCCAGTACGACGATGGCGATGGCATGATCCAGTCCGCGTGCACCATCCCCATCTTCGACCTCTTCAATATGGTCATGGCCCACGAGGTGCCCGGGCGGGGCCTGCGCTCCGCCACGCTCGACGAACATGACTACAAGCAGGCCAGGGCGCGGCTCCGCAAGTCCGCCCGCCACGGCTCCCAGGCCTTGGGCAAGGCGTTGCCCTCCCAGACGGCCCCGAGCTACGCGGTGGCCACGTATTCGGCCAGCTCGTACATTGCCTTTGTGAGTGCACTCTCGCGCTTGGGCCGCAAGTGGAAGATCAACGTCCAGAAGTCCACGCGCACGCCCATCAGCGTGGACGTGTTGCCGCTTTCTCGCGCCCGCTCCGTGGACTCCACGTTGGACTATCTCCGCAACGGGGGCGTCGACGAGATCGCGGCGTACATTGTCTCGAGGGTCCGGGGAGGCGCCCGCGCAGCAGAGGCCCCGCCGCAGTACCGGCCGGTGGTCCAGATGTTGAAGGATTTCGTCTCGGGCAACATCCTCGGGGACCACAACTTGGACAGTTTGCTGGGGAACCTTGTGCTCAGCGTGGACGCCCGGTTGAAGGCCGCCGGCTTGGACCGCCTGGCCGCGGCCTTGCACATGCCCTTCTCCCACGAGTTCGCGCGTCTGAGGGCATACGAGATCCTCATGCTCTTGGAGACAACCGGCGACAGGAACCCTCTTCGCTGGGACAGCGCCCTAGGGCTCCCGGGCACGCAATCCTCCGCCGAGGCGGACCGCTTTTGGCGCTTCTACGACTACCTCGACTCGACCTTCCGGTCCAATGGCGCGCTCCTTGGCCTGTTACAGGGCGGTGCCAAATCCCCGGCCCGGGCGGAAAACGACACGCCCGAACGCAGCCAAGATGCCCCTGCGGCACTTGCCAAGTATCTTGCGGATGACTTCTACCCTGCAGACCCCATGGCAGCGGTGCGTGAGGACTTCGGAAACACGCCTGTCTACTGCATTGACTCAGAAACAGCGCACGAGATTGACGACGGCATTTCCATCGAGGACACAGGCGCCGGCGTGGCCATCACGGTGCACATTGCAAACCCAACTTCGTACCTTAAGCCTGACTCCTCGTTGAGCCAGATTGCTTTGCAAAAGGGCTCCACAGTGTACTTGCCTGAGGGCCCCACAATGATGCTACCTGACGTTATATCCAAGCTTTGCGGGCTCAATGGAGAAAAAACGACCCGTACGCTCGGCATCCGTTTCGTATGCAAAAAGAAGCACGTGAAGGCGTATCACGACGCTCTTAGGAAAGACCCATCGGTCAAGCCACTGGTTGATCTAGCACAAGCTATTCAGAATGCAATCGAGCACACTGCTACAGTGAAGTTTTACAATGTCTCCAACTTCCCCAAGAATTTCACGTATAAGAAGGTCAACGAAATCCTCAATGACCCAGAGAATGTCGAGAGATTCCAAAACAATACCTTGAAGGAAGGCTCTCATGAACACAATCTCTTCAGCCTCCACATGATGGCGGATCTAATCAAACATTTCCGAGTAAGCCTCGGGTCTGGTGTTGAATTGAACTCAGACACTTCTAAAGTGGCAGTCAACTTCAGCAAAGACGACTGCGGAGAGCAAGACTTTACTGAAATCGAGAGCGGCTGGCAAATTACTCTTCCCAAGGGCAAAAAATCCGACACGCCCGTGATCTCTGTCATGCGCGAGGTCAATCAAAACAAGGAGTCCAAATCCCAACATCTTGTGTCCAACCTAATGATAGCTGCAAATTACGCGGGCTCTGTCTTTGCCGAAAGAGAGGGCTTTCCTATCATTCATAGACACCTGAAGTTGGATGTCAAGGAATCCGTTGCAAATGAGATTAAAGAATTGAGCAGACGCAGCTACCTCCAGAAGAAAGACATGAGGCCGGACGAAAGGTCCCAGCTTTTGTCTGTTTTGACAACGGCTAATTTTCTGACGTTTCAACTTTCACATGACCTTTTAGGCGTGAAGCTCTACCTGAATCTCACTTCGCCTTTGAGAAGATATGTCGACATGGTCAACCACTGGAAGTTCCAAGACTTCACACTCATGAAAGAAGCAGAGCGGCGAGGTGAAGACTGGATAGTCACCGGTGAGACTCAACTATTGCGGGACAAGTCGAGAGTTTACCCGGAGCCTCTTAAAGAAAATGTGTCTAAAAAATTACAGGGTAAAGCGGAAAAACTTAATGGCGCCTCGGTTTCGAAGCAGGAGTTTGGCATGAGAACAAGTGATATGGACTACATTGCCAGTCATCTCCAAGGTTGTGAGCTCAGAAACAAGATGGCTCAAAAGTTCTCAGACACATTTTGGAAAGCGAAGTTCCTCAGAAGATACTTCGAGTTGAAAATACAAGGAAAAATCAAGAATCCAATTGAATTACTGTTTTTGCTAGGCAGCGACGCCAAACATGGTGATGTTAGAGCGGAGTTGATCGGATTTACTTCCCTAAGAACAACCATCATTCAGACCCCATATGTGATGCTGAAATTTTCCAGCGAGACTTGGCACGTTGGTCAAGTGATTCGAAACCCACGATTTCGCGTATTAAAGCTCGACTTTATTGAGGGGGAGTTTACCATTGAGCTCGTCTCTCCCGAAGATGCTCTTAATGATATAATTGAATAGCAGTTCTCTGCACGAGAATAATCTGTGGGGCCAATCATAGCAATGAGTGATGCGAAATACGCCCTGGAATACTAGGGTCTACAACAAAAAACAATGACTTCATACTGCGAAGCCTACCCATATTATAGAGTTCATTTATCCAACAAGTGATCACAGTTCTCACTCACCACTGAAATCAATATTTTGGAGTTGAATACAACGCCTCAGTTGTGAATGAATTTGATAACTGACATGTACATAGAAGAGGGGCGAAGACTCCGCGGATTTAGTCCGGTAGAGAAATCGCTTGACTTAATTAAACATGATTCCACACATCACGCGGTAGATGTTATATTTCGGGGTTTCTCGAGCCGAAGTTGCTTTCGTTTCGAACCCTGAAACAGATCAAAGGAAGGTCTCGATATTCAGACTCGTACAAAAAGACTATTTGCTCCATGAGTGGATATTCTCTATAATCTTTGGGCAGAACATGTTTGAAGAGTTTAGATTGTATAACCTATTTTTCATTGAGTCATGCTACCTCCTCTTGTTGTTGCAGCAAGAATACCGTAGCAATGATTTATATGCACGCTAGGTCCAGGGTCCCAGTACAAAGAAACCAGATTGAGAAAGACGGCATGCGTTATATGCTACTGTTCTTGCAGAAAGGTATCTGGTAGTTTCATTCCAGATACCACGCATGCAGAGCGACACCAACAGAAATATTCAGAACTAGCCTGGCCGTTGCTTGTGGAACATGTGGCATGAGAGCACATACCAGAAGCTTTGTAAATTTAAAGTGTTTTTTAAACACACCATCGCCAAAGCGCAGGAAAAGGCTGCTTTCTCCAAGACCTGAATTGATAAAACAATCCCGGCATCTGCGGAGAGCATGAATCACCGGTTTATGTGCACGCTGCATGCGCGAAGAGCCCGCGTACGTCATAACATTCGTAAAGGCATCAGTCTTCACTCTGGCGCCACATTCTCTTTCCTGCTCTTCTTCTTCCTCAGCAAAACCCACCATGAGTGCACAAGGAACGTCCACGCTGGCGGTTTTGTCTTCACTTGCCACCAACGCAATCATATTTGGCTGTTTTGTTGGTGGCTTTTTCGTTTTGCGCTTGAAATTCAAGCGGATCTACTCGCCCAAGTCCTCGTACGATTTGGTGCCTGAGGAAAAGAAGCCCGAGCCACTTCCCAAAGATCCCGTGCGGTGGATATACATACTACTAAGGAAATCGCATAGCTTTATCATCCAGCAATGTGGCCTCGACGGGTATTTCTTCCTACGCTACCTCTATATCATGGGGCTTATATTCTTGTTTGGCATATTGACTTGGGGCGTCTTGCTCCCGGTGAATGCCACCAGTGGTGCAGGCAAAACAGGGTTAGATCAGTTGTCGATCTCTAACATCTCGCAACCCAAACGGTACTATGCGCATGCGTTAATGTCGTGGGTTTTCTATGGCAGTGTGATCTACGTCATATACAGAGAGCTATTCTTCTTCAACTCTTTCCGTGCAGCGGTCTTGTCATCGCCTAGATACGCATTCAAGCGGTCGTCACGCACAGTGCTTTTCCAGTCCGTGCCTGACCAGATGTTAGACGACGAGCAATTCTATAAGCTTTTCAACGGTGTCAAGCAGATCTTTGTGTCCAAGAAAACTCGCAAGTTGAGTGCAAAAGTCCAGGAAAGAGAGGATTTGGCATACAAGTTGGAAAGGGCCACCACCCAGCTTTTGCAAAAAGCTGTCAAAGCCAAGGCCAAGGCGGAAAAGAAGAACATACAGGTGGACGACCCGGCTGATATCAACACTTGGGTGCCCAGGGAAAGAAGGCCCCGCGAACGAAGCAAGTGGTTTTCTTTCAAAAAAGTGGATGTAATAGAAACCACGCGCGAGAAGTTGAAGGCAGTGGACGTCGAGGTACAGCAATTGCAGGAAAACTACAAATCATTCCCGCCAAAGAACTCAATTTTTGTTGAGTTCGAGGACCAATATACTGCACAGTTGGCCTATCAAACCGTGGTGCACCACAATCCCATGAGAATGAGTCCCCGGTATACTGGCATGGAGCCTGATGATATCAATTGGCTCAACATGCGGCTTTTCTGGTGGGAGCGAATCGTACGGCGAGCCCTTGCTATTGCAGCGATCGTTGCGTTGATCATATTCTGGGCCATTCCTGTGGCCTTTGTGGGTATTATTTCCAATATCAACAACTTGACAGACACACTCCCTTTCTTGAGTTTCATCAACAACCTTCCTGACTGGTTGCTCGGTATCGTGACCGGTCTTTTGCCCACCGTCTTGTTGGCACTTTTGTTGGTGGTTTTGCCCTTCATCATCCGTATCTTCGCCAAGATTGCTGGCACAATTTCAGTTCAAGAGACCGAGCATTTCACGCACACGGCATACTTTGCATTTTTGACCATCAACGGTTTTCTAGTCACAGCCCTCGCGTCGTCCGCCACCTCCACCGTGGAGCAAATTATCAATAATCCCACCTCTGCCCTTTCCATCTTGGCTGAGAACTTGCCCCGCTCCTCCAATTTCTATCTTTCCTACCTCATCTTGCAAGGTCTTACTGTGACCAGTGGTGCACTCTTCCAAGTCGTTGGCTTGTTTGTTTACTATGTTTTGGGAACATTGCTAGATAGCACCCTTCGGAAGAAGTGGACCCGATTCTCACGATTGCGCAAAGTGAAGTGGGGCACACAATTTCCTCCTATGATCAACTTGGCAAGCATCACCATGGTGTATGCCGTCATTTCTCCAATGATCCTTTTATTCTCATGCGTTGCATTTGGCTTGATGTATATAGCCTCTTGTCACAACCTATCCTACGTCATGGCAGAAAGCGCCGACTCAAGGGGCTCACACTATCCGAAGGCATTGTTTCAGACGTTCACTGGAATCTATATGGGCCAAGTGTGTTTGTTGGGCTTGTTCGTTGTGGGAAAAGGCTGGGGCCCAATCGTGCTCCAAATCATCGGGCTTTTCACCACTGTTTTTGTGCACATTCATTTGAAAATCGCCTTTGATCGACTCATGACTGTCGTACCAATTGACTGTATGAAGCCATTGGATGGTGTATCCCACACGAGCTCTTATACGCAAGACTCGGACTTCAAGTTCAAGGTATTGGACAAGAAGTCTATAAAAAGAGCAGACCTGGCTTCGGAGACTGGAGATGCGGGAGGAACACAAGAAGACTCGGATCAAACAGTGAGCAAGGGGGAAAACTTGGTCCCATTGTTGGCAGATTGTGACTCCAAGAAAGTCAAAAGAAACAACTTTCTTATCCGTTACTTTAGACCAGATGTGTTCATGAATTACCGTCATGTCAAAAAGTTGATTCCTGCCACCTACAACATGGAGAATCTTGCAGCCGACGACCCTCATGCATATGACCAGCCCGATATTTCGGAGCAAATGCCCATTTTGTGGATTCCAAAAGATGATATGGGCTGGTCTGCCCAGGAGATTGACTCCAATAAGGACACGGTTGATATGAGAGATCGTGATTCCGGGTTCACTGCAAAAGGCAAGGTTGTCTACCTTGGTCCTCCACCCTACTAAATATACCCCAAACCGGAATCCTGAGACACAGATTCTGGTTTCATCACGGCAAAGCCACCTTTGGCTCTACATTCAGAAAGCTGTCATAAAGACATGGCTTTTTGGAGGTGGGTGTCGCCCCCTAATATTTAATACATATAGCACTCAAATGTCTACATGGCTAGCATGTTTGAATTCGGCTAGAACAACAGAGCGTAGTTTATAGGCTTCTTCATGGCCAAATGATGTACTTGTATTGCTTAATGAGTTCTTTTTTGAAGCTTGGTGTTAAGTGATGGAATAAGTGGACGTGCGCCCATATTAACTGGAATACTCGGGTTCGTTGCATAGTAAGTCGACATCAAATATAGATCTGACACTCGAAAATGCGGAGAATGTACTCTTGTAGGATTCTTTCGCCCAAACTATCTCTGATATCTGAAGTCATCTGCGCTCGCCAGCGAGCCTCCTCATCTATTGGGCGTAGATGACCTGGCAAATTTGCTTACAAGCCCATGTTGGCTCGACTTGGCTCAGACAAAAGCAACAGAAAACAACCACGCGCTTTTCATCACTTTGAATAACTCAAGGATTTGCTATTATTGTCCTTGTAGACCAACGTCCTAGAGCGCCAGTTGTGCTGTGCAACAGAGAAATACAGAACACGTGATTTTGTTAAAAGCTTGCAGAAAATTTCATCAATGATCGATGAAGGGTAGGTGTCCTAGATTCGGTTTTCATGTTTTGCACCAACAAGTAATTAAAAGCAAGAAACCTCAAGAAAAACTCAGCAGAAAAAACTCAGCAAATAAAAAGAACAGCACAAAAAAAACTCAGCAATTAAAAAACTCAGCAAAAAGAACTCAGCCAGGATAAGATTTTGGCTCGGGCCACACGGATATAATGGAAAATACAGGGGAACCGCCTCGAAGCTCAGAACCTGCAATACAGCATATAAAGCTCCCAGCGTTCTCAGGCGTATCATAGTAGCGCAGCGACTTGGCCCGCGGCCAAAATCTCAAGGCGCACCCGCACTAATTTCGCAGCCGTGCGTCCACTTTACTTCCAGGCCTATTGGTCTCATCGCTCAGATAAAAAGGCAGCAAAGCGGGGAGGAAGCACTGAGTCCCAAACGCCGCTGCCACCGGTCCGCCAAAACCGGCCCAGAACCTGGCCGGAATACCGGTTTGCAAAACCAGGCCGGGGAACCAGCGTGCGTCACGTGACCCGCTGCCCGCACATCCGAGGGCGCTGCTCGCTTCACCACCTCGGCCTGCTCCACCCAATATATAAGTAGAAGGAAGCCCGGCACGATGATCCGCCTGTTTTTTTCCATGGCCAAACCCACCCCTCCAGTGCCGCTGCAGGCGCGCACCCGGCTTGCCGCCACATTGAGGCATCTTTCGTCCGCAGCCCCAAAAAGCAAAGGCGCCCAGCCGGCCCTGGAATCGCCCAATGCCCCAAAAGCTCACTACGTATCTGTCGGCGTGGGCAGCAAGTACACGAAAGAGTACAAAAACTACTGTGTCGAGGCCCCGGCCAAAGTGATGTCGTATTTCCACGATGTGCCCCTTGGGTTGGACCTTGAGCGTAAAACGGCCACCGTAGTCGTAGAGATCCCGCGGTGGCTGAACGCCAAGTTCGAAATCAACATCGGCGAGCCGGGCAACCCCATCACGCAGGACGTCAAAAAGGGCCGCGTTCGTTTTGTGAAAAACTTGTTTCCCTACAAGGGCTTCCCGTTCAACTATGGCGCGTTCCCGCAAACGTGGGAGGACCCCACGGTCATGCACGATGTGGCGGGTCTCCCTGGCGACGGCGACCCCTTGGACGTGTGTGAAATCGGTGCACGGGTCTTGCCCACGGGAACGGTGAAAACCGTCCGGATCTTGGGATCCTTGGCCCTAGTGGACGACGGCGAGTTGGACTGGAAAGTCATTGTGGTGGACGAGCAGGACCCGCTTGCCGGCGAGCTCCGGGACATTGGCGATGTGCTTGAAAAATGCCCGGGGCTTTTGGAAGCTACCCGCGAGTGGTTCCGCAACTACAAGCTTCCGGACGGCAAGCTTGCGAACAAGTTTGCGTTTGACGAGACGTACCGCAGCCAGCAGGAAACCATGGACTTGATCATGCAGTGCCACGGCGCCTGGCGGCGGCTCGTGCAGGGCCGGTCTGCAGCCGAGGGCTTTGCCATCGAGAACACGACGGTGGAGAACACCCCGGGTCACGTGGCCCGCTTCGCCTTCTCCGACGCCGTGTTGGGCAGTGACGTGGAGTCCGACGCGGAGATTCCGCCCGACGTGAGCCGCAGCCACTTTTTCAAGCACGAGCTTTAATAGGAAAGGCCTGATTTGGGGTTGGTTGGGAAGGCCCAGCTTAGTGTGACTTGGGACGGGCTGTCTCATTGGGACGAGATGTCTTCGTATTATTTGGGACGGGTTTGTCACGTATCACTGGGGAAAGACAGCCTTCGTATAAGTCAAGCGTGGTAATCGAGGCATGTATGCGAGGCCTGGGCACGTCTATCAATGCGTGTTGCAAACCAGACATCACCCTTTAGACACAGCATATGCGCTGAATGTATATAGACAATTGCAACTTGATAATCATGTTTTGGGTGTCACCGGACGGGGCTGTATCGGGACGTTCCCATATAGTAGAGCTGATCGGGCCATTCCGTGGGAGCAGCTTCTCTACAGCTGGCAGTCCATTTTCCTCTTCTGAGAAGCAGTGGGAAGCCAACTGGTGAGTACGGATCTGATTCATGATACTAATGTTGCCGGGCCATTTTGGGCTTGTTCCAAGACAGGCCACAAGCAACACTGCACGCTTTCTGGGCGCTTTGCTATTTTCTAGGAAAAACACCTGCAGCCAAATTAACGAATACAATTGCCAAAACATCCTCAAATCTCGGCCTTGCAGAAAAACGGCTCGTTGAAAGCCTATGACGCTGCTCATCATTTCGCGACCAAGGCCCATGATACTTATACTGAGACATGCCCCAGACATGGACGAAAACCACCAGAAATTTCCAACCATCATGAAAACATTGGGTCAAAAGATTACGCATGTTGTAGATCCTATAGAAATAGGCACAATTTGGTGAGAAATAGACCCCCAGTACCATCGATACATCATTATTGAGTTAATACACCACTACAGCTGTGATACATCAGAGCTCCATTCTTGGTATATCGGTACTACAGCACTAATACATCAACTCCATACCATTGATGCATCATTACTACATCATTCTTACATCACTACTACATCAATACTGCATCATTACTACGCTTTAGTTACGTACATTCCGAGTGAATTAACACTTTGGATAGATTACTTCGTGTTATTAATTTCCTCTAACCCTCATCTATAACCTTCGGTCAAAGATAATGATGGAGGTTCAAACCAATTGTCTATTCCTTGACTTTGTGATGTTTTTTGTAAATATTTATACTTCTATAATTACTCAATATTATTGTTCCTCCGTCTGCGCTTAAATCTTAAACAGCGCTTGAATTCCGAATTAAATGTATGTAATTAACGTGCTTCAATCCTAGCTTCTTGCTTGAAAATATAGTAACTTGTATGCCAAACATCCTTTCAAGAATACTCTACAGGAATGGAACCAAGCAATAGATATTCCGTCAGCGACTAACTCGAGAAAATAGGCCAATCCTATGCTTGATTCAAGTATCAAGTTTGTTATTTCTAACCTGAATCTGATTTCATCGAATCGGTTGGTGGTGTTGGATCTTCTTCACCAACTCTTTGTAGCTTCGCTACACCATACATAAATTTATCAGATACTACAGGCAAGATAATGGTATAACTTTCGTTGTTGAATATCCATAAAGATGTACTCTAGCTCTTTTTAACTTACTACACCATTAATAGATCTTTAAAAACCAATCAAACATCATAACACCATTTTGCATTATGAATACGTCATCAACCCATTTTCAAGTACCATACCATCAATACATTACACCATCACATCGTTAATACATCATTACTTCATCATTGATACGCCATTGCTTGTTGTTAATGTATTATTACTCCATCATTGGTATTTTTACACCATCGACACTTCATGAATCCAATGCCATCACATCATCACGCCACCAATAAACCATTTGTGCATGATTATTATTTTAAACCTATAAATATAACATAACATGTTAATTATCATTATCCTATATCTACAATATATCTTATTTATGATGAATATAAACCATTTTATAGATGGGTATTTTATAGTTAATGTACCTTTAAATGAATATGTACTTATATAAGTATTAAAATTATATATCACCCCGCTACCTTTTAAAAGGTTATATATTAAATAAAAATAATAATTTGGATTTCAACTTAAATTAGATATTATTGAATTTTATACTTAATATTCTAATGATAATCATACTACTAAATACTAAAATTAGTAATTATATTTCAGTAAAAGGTGAATTTAAATCTAATTACCTCCTAAATCTTATGAATGTATAGATGATAATAATAACAATAATAAAAGAAATATTGGTGGATTTCTATTGAATGGATTAAAATATTATGATGATTTATTTTATACTAAAATTGATTATCAATATTCTAGTTCATTGACATCTAATAATATTGTTATAAAAAGTTTAAATAATATGAGGGGAACGGGTTATCGTATTAATACTCAAATGCTTAATTTAGTTCTTAAATATAATAAAGATTATAATTTCTATATATCTAGTGAATTAATAAAAAATGATCCTCTTATTCAGTTATATTATAAAGATCCTAAATCTTTCAGTATTAAGGATTATAAATATTGTGTTTCTTTATTAAGTAAATATTTAGCTGATTCAACTATATTAAATATTGTTGATTTATTCTCTAATGTAAAAGCTTTTTATTATCCTTTAAGATTAGATTTTAGAGGTCGTATTTATTGTATTGTTACTTCATTTTCTTTTCAAGGTACTACATTAGTTAAACGTCTTTAAAATATTCTAATCCTGTTGATATTAAATTAAATGATATTGAATCTTTAAATTATTTTAAAGCTTCCGGTGCTACCTCTTATGGTATTAAAGGTTCATTTAATGATCAAGTCAAATGAATAGAATCTAATCAATTAAATATTTTAAATTTTGAATCTTTTAAAATTTGACAAAATGCTAAATCTCCTTTATAATTTATGATGTTTTGTTTGGAATATAATAAATATTATAATGCTATACTTAATAAACAAGATTCTTATAAACCTCATTATATTATTATATTAGATGCTACATGTAATGGTTTTCAACATATTACAATGCTTTGTAAAGATGCCGAAATGTGTAATAAATTAAATTTAAATAATATTAAAGATAGTGAAAAACCTAATGATTGATATATAATTATTACTACTTGTGTTCAAGAATATTTACAAAGTAAAGTTAATGATCCTGTAGCTCTAAAATTAGCTTCAATATCTATTAATCGTGAGATGGTTAAGAAATGTATAATGATTTTCCCTTATAAGGCGGGTGTATTAACTAAAATTGATGGAATTATTAAATTCTTTAATAAAACTGATGATGATTATCTTTATAAAAATGATCCATTTACTATATTAAGTCTCAATGATATTCTATATTTGGTTCAGACTATAAAAAATGTTATACATTATAGATATCCTAGAATAAAACATTTTACAAAATATCTTCAACAAGTTGCTAAAGTATGTGGTACACTTAAAATACCTCTTCCTTGAGTTTTACCTAGTGGTTTAAGTATTTTACATTTTCAGTAGTATACCATGCCTTGCCATCGATTCGTCATTAGTCCCCCATTAACACACCATAAATTCAAAACACCACCAGACCACCAATGCTCTATTGATGCATAAATAATTCATTAATCCTACTACTTCATTCTTAATACACCCTGAATATTCTTAACACATCCTCAATACATTCTTAATACAACCTGAATACATCGTTAATAAACCCTGAGTACACCCCAAGCACATCCTCAATACACCCCGAACACATCCTCAATACACCCCAAACACACCGTCAATACACTACCCCACCACTGATACACAATCAACACACTCAACACACCACGATTCCCCATGAAAAAAAAAAAAACGCCAATCACACCACCCCATAACCCCATACAAGCCGCATACCAGGGCCCAGCACGCGCACCCGTGCATCCGCAGCGAAAAACCCAGCGCGCTCAGATCCACAGACCATCAACACTACTACATTCTGCTCAAGCTCCCCATCCGGTCCCCCGCCCTTCCTCTCACATCGCCGTTTTGTGCACCATGTCCCCACAAACACAGGCAGTCGTGCGGCCGCCCCAGCCGTCCGACACATGGACGTTTTCGCTGGCCTTGCAGCTCTTGAAGAGCTCGCCCGAGCACGCCGCGAGCAATGGCTTGGACGACTTTTTGGCCCACAACAAGGACGCCGTGCTCCTGCCGGTGCCCTTCGCCCCTGCGGCCACAAACGCGGGCGGGCCACAAAAAGACCTCGATGCTGCAAAAACAGACTTTTCCTTGCGCGGCGTGCGGTTCGCCGGCGTCACGCCCCAGGCCGTGCGCGCGGCCCAGACCCTCTCTTCCACGTTGGCCATGGACGCGCACGACGCGTTGCGGATCGTGCTCCAGACCGACCGGCGCAGCCCGCAGCCGGCCCCGGGCGACCACCGCGTCAGCCGCTTGCTCTTCGGCGCGCCGGCGCCGGGGCCCGCGGCGCAGTCCAGGCGCCCATCCTCGGCCCCAGCCGCGGGCCTGGACCGCATGCTTCTATACACAAAGGCCGTGTTGCAGGAGCGCAGAACCGTCCTCCGCATAGCCGCGGAGTGCCTCAACTTGCGCCACGCAGACCGCGCGTCGCCCGTGGCGCGCAACTTGGGGAAGTCGCTTGTGGCGAGCGCCGACTACTTGCTCGACGCGGTGGCAGGCCTCGGCACGCTCGTGGACCTTGCCACGGGGCCGCCCGCCGGCGCGGCGCACGGGCGCTTGCTCCGCATGGAGCTGCTCCTGCACATGGCGCAGCTTCTCCTGCTTGTGTTCGACGTCTTGTTGTCGTGTGCCGAAGTCCCGCCCCGGTTTGCGGGCGCGTGGTTTGCCCTCATGGACAGAACCGCGTTTGCGCTCGCGTTGGTGCCCTGCGCGGCCAGCAAGGACGCGTTTTCCGTGCTTCACGGCCTCGTCACCGTCGTCTCGCTCCAGCTCTTGGACTTGCCGCTGCCCGACCCCACCCACTTGGCCGACCCCGCCGTCTTTGCGCAGATCAACGCCTTGATGCTCACGCTGAGCCCGAACAACATCCTCGCGTACGCGTGGCTCATACGGCTCCACCGAAAAGCGATTTTGCTCGAGGCGTTCCCGCAGTCGCACGAAGCTTTTCTCCTGGTGGTGCCCCTCCAAAACACCCTCAGCGACGTGGCCACGCTCCAGGCCTCGTTGCAGCACGCGCCGGTCTTCCTGGAGATCGTGCAGCTCAACAAGGTCTTGGGCTTCGACAATGTGTTCGCCGTCATCTTGACCGACATGATCCTCGCGGCCATTCCGCTCGTCCAAGCCACAGAGAATATACTGGCCTGTATCAGCGAGGTCTTGAGCTCCGCGCCCAACCCCTCGGTAGAAAAGTTCTTCGACAATGACGAGGCCCGTCGGTTGATCGTTTTGGCCAGGGCCAAGTTCCCCGTCTCCTTGAGCCCCTACCTCAAGCTAGCTTGCATCAACGGCAAGTTCGCGTTGCACGAGCTCGAGGAGCTTTCCTGCTACATGTCCGTTTTTGACAACGCCGACTTGACCTCGCTCCACGAAATCGACTCGGAGAACACCGACTTGGTGCGGCTCACCAAGCCCGTGGACGTGTTTCTTCCTTTCGAGCCCGCAAACAAATTGTCCCTCGTGCTCAAAGTGGGCACGAAGGCCAAGATCTTCCCCGCGGCCCAGGACAAACTGCTTGTCACGTTCTTGCACAAATACAATGGCTGGGCGCTCTTGGGACGCGTCTTGGAGAACATCTCAAAGTTCTCCGATCAATCGGAACTAGAGAAAACCAGGGCTCTAGAAAGTATTCTTGATGTGTTGATCCGCACCACTGCTGAGGATCCGCCCAGCACATGTGCCGTCTTGGAATACATGTCCACGCATACTGACGATAGCGACATCGTTGATGTGCTCTTCCGTGTCTTTGAACAAAGCATGCACAACCGAAACGTCGTCTTGCTGACGAAGCTGCTCCGGTTACTCTCCAGCCTAATGCCAGTCATCCCTGCCCGAATCTGGCCCTATCTCTCCAGATCATCACTTCTATCAAATAAAGGAAAGGAGGGATTCCTGTCAATCCTATTCGGCTCCATCGAGACGGTCCTGGGGGAGTACCTATTTACAAGTGCATTGGTGAAGTTTGTGTTCTGTCTTGCCGACAACTGTTTGTCGGTGACGAAGGACTATTCAGAGGAAGCGAAGAGTGACATTTTCACAAAGTTCATCGAACACATTATTCAAGTGTTCGAGAACTACGAAAACTGCAAATTCAATGACAGCTTCCAGAAATTCGAATTGGGTGTTCTCATCTTGGATGTCTTTTCACAAACTTTGAATACCGTTTATTCAGTGAGTCCTCATCTTAAAATTGACGAAAAACCCACAAAGGTTTTTGCCAAAGCTTCTCAAAAAATTCTAGACACTTTCCTCACAACCACACCCAGCTTTGCTCGCTCCTCCATTTCTATAATCGACTTGATTGACTCTCTTTCTTCACCGTCTGATTCTTTCGATGCCCAAGACATCTCAGGCTTTCTTGGTGATGTATGGATTCACTCGGTGTTCTCTTTTGCTAGGCTTTTGGTAAACATCAGAAGCTCAATCAATGCACTCCCAAGTAAGCTCGAGGAGTCCTTGTTCTCTAGATTACCTCAGCTTGTCACCATTTACAGCGAAGGTGGGCCCCTCAGAAAAGTTATTCTCGACTTGCTTACAGCTCTTACAAGTGGGAAATGGGAGTCTGAAAAGATGCCTTCCATCTTATCTCATCTTGGCCAGGATCATTCACGCATTCTTTTGCACTCTTTGGCTACGGACTTGGAGTCTACATTCGATGAATACAACATAAAGATATCCATCTATGATTTCCTTTGCTCTATAATGGAAGCCAATCAGCAGGGTCTTGCAGTGTTATTCATCAGTGGAAGGGATGTTTTTGGAGAGTTCTCTGATGCCAAGGACGGCAAAACAGGCACTAAAACCATATCTCTATTGTCCGTCATGAAGAAGAATATCCAGGATGTGAAGTCATACCCCGCGGCTGTGACTGTACATCTCTTAGATGCTATTTCGTTGGCTTTCAATTCATGGACTACAGCTAGAAATGAAGACAGCGATATTGTGTTTGTTAAGGAATTGGTGTCGTTGCTCGAGAACTTCGAGAAGAATCACGATGAAAAGACCGCGCCTGAAATGATTCTCTCGTCTTACGATTGCAAGGTTTATTCAAAAATCACTGAAATTATATCCTTGGTGCTTTTCACTACGAAGAATGAAAAGTGTATCGAGTTAATTCGAGGATTGTTATCAAGCAGCGCGTTCATTGAGAAACTACCAGGATTCTTTACCATTTCAGGATACGAAGTATCGCTTTATGAAAACGTGAAAACTAGATTCAACACGGTCTTTGAAAACCACCAGTTGACAGACTTTGCAGTCGCTCTCAAGAAGCGAAACAGATTTGGTCCTGGAATGGTTTATGATCTCCTCTTGCTCGACTCGTTCTTCCAGGAAAGCCCTGAGTGGAGCAAAATCAGAGAAGAGATAATCTACTTGAGTGCTAACATGCAATACTACAACGCTCAAATTTCCTTGTGCAAGTCGATGGGAGCACTCATGACCACATTCTGTCGTCGGTTACCAACCTCTGTCCCTACACAGTATTCCAAGGTGGTGCACAAGCTACTTGCTATAAGGGAACCACGGGATAACTATTCAGAATTGTTATGCTCACAGCAATATTATGAACGTATAGAGCTCGCCTTTTTGATGCTTTACACACTGAATGACACGAAGGATGGCCGAAAAGAACTTGTTTCTTTCTCCATTTCTATCATAGAGGAATGCAGCGACTTGATGAACAACCCCAATGTGGGCTACTTGAGTAGTAACAAAGCAGACTTTTCCTACAGATCATTGTTGAGGATAGTCTACATCGCACTTGCAAATCTCAAATCCGACTTTCAAGCTGTCAACACCCGGGTTCAACCCATTTTGAGACTTTTCGAGTACGTCATTGCCAAGGGCACCACAAGTATCATTATTGAGCTTCAAAATGATGTCTACCTTGCCCGTACAAATAAAAATCACAAACCTGTGAATCTTGGGGCCAGATTGGATGATTTGAAATTGATTCTTTCTGTTTTAAAAGTTTTTGTCGAGCTAGGAATCAGTGGCTCTTTGCAAGCTGAGTTTGCTGCTACCCTAACAAGACACAACACAGTGGGCTCGCTTCTCAGTCTCTACTCATTTTCGCACTTGACTTTGGTCGCTAATGAGCCGATATTCGCCCAATTGAGTTTGATGTTTATCCAACAACTTATGTTGGTGGAGGCATTTGCGGAGAACATTGTTGATTCGAAGATTTTCACCGTGATACGCGAAAGCATGATTTCTCAGCTGCTTCGCGTAGGTGGCGTGTCCGTTGTGAATGCCTCCCAGTTACATGGTACGTGGACTAATGGGATCTTGCCACTCGTCGTATTGTGTCTTTCGCAAGGAAAAGCTGTCGGAGAGAGTGTCTTAACTCTCAAAGCATTTTCGAAGCAAATCGAGTTTAGTATCGAATCTTGGTCAAATGATTCCTCGGCTCTTCAGATCTCTAGCGCAGGTACTTTCGAGACAATGCAGCTCTTGTACATTTTTCAGATTCTTATGTCGATAGCAACAGCGCAAGGTCTTGCGACAAGATCTGCTAATGATGTCGATATGACGGTATTGCCGGGGCTCGATACGCAACAGAAAAGAAATGACTTTGTTGGTTTTATTAGTAATCTTCTCAAGCACCCCAAGTTTTTGAAATCGCGAGTTTTTCCTAGCTCGCAGGAGGAGAAGGCCTTGATGCATGCAGACGGTAGGGAGTATGAAACTTTTGTCGAAGGTTTGATTGAAGATATCAAAGAATTGAGAGACTTTTTGATGTGATGTGGAAAGGGGTTTTCTCTTTTGCGGCATCTGTGGTTAATTTAACACAGCTGAAAACTTGACGTGAAATACATGGTTTGAAATGGATATAATACGTGCATGCACAAGTACATAATTTTATGCATTTAATGACACGACGGCTAAAGTGTTAAATTTTGACTACATTTTGGCGTGGTTGCTTCAACTGCTTGCAATCGCCAATGTAAAGAAACCGAAGAGGGATGACAACTACGAAGGATCTTACAAAATCAATGAGCAACTCGAAACATAAAGGGTTGATGATTTTTACTGTATAAGATGAAGCATTTTGAACAAACAATAACTTGGGTCACACCGTTCTGGTGTGTATCGTTTGGGATCTGCTAGATCCAACATATGCTTCCGATCGGTCGTGGGACTGCAATAGCCAAAGTCAGGTTTGATATAATGTTCCAAGATCCCTCTCGCCTTTTATACACAAATCGCTCCAAAGGGATTTCCATTAAAAAGAAAACACATTCAATTTTCAACGAGCAGAAATTATTCATGGTAATCATGCCACATTAATATCGTTTTCTGAAATATTGACCTCTCCAAATCACCACAATGTATTGGGTCTCTGCAGTCCTAAATTGACACCCCTTCAAAGAAAGATATTTGTAGCGAAGGGTTTAAATCAAAATGAAAAAAAAAAAAAAATTCGAACAAGGAAGAAAGCAAACAAGCAATCAGAATTGTGCCTGAATTTGGTATGAATGTTATTTCCTGCCTCTTTTGCCACTGTTCCCAGATTTCACTGTACCTCATTCCTTCGCGGCCTTGCCTGCTTTAGCTCAGCATTAGTACTCTTCTCATTCCATTGATCACGAATTTCCTAGAAAGCAACAAGCTGACACAAACCCACACGTCCATCAATCTATGTCCCATAATTGAAGTGCTCACATTTTCTCATGACTCTGTTGACCTCATCGACTTTTCATGACAAACGCTAATTGCAGCCGTGTGTGCAGCCAAAATCAGCAAAAAGACCTTCGAGGGCCAAGCTTACCTAAGACAACGATTAGCTCCCATTAAATTCTCTCCACGACAACTCTTCTCTTTTGCGAAGACTATTAAAATGAAATTCTTATTTGAACCAGGCTCGAAAAATCTAACCTTGTTTTTGGCTGCCACTTCCCCTTAGCTAGCCGCCAGGGAATTTACGCGCTGGCGGCAGGTTGCACCGACGGGCGTCACGTGAGAGTATGTCACGTGACGGAACAGGCGCGTGAGTCGAAGCACCGGCAGATGACGCCTCATTCATTATCTTTCAACACTCGAAACACACGCGCAGATGCCCGATTTCTTTGTCTCGGCGCCCGGGAAGGTCATCTTGTTTGGGGAGCACTCGGCCGTATATGGAAAGCCCGCAATTGCGGCGGCACTTTCGCTCAGGGCGTACCTTTTGGTTCAGAGAAGCGCGGATCCCGATGAAATCGTGTTGGAGTTCCCAGACATCGGGCTCGTGCACAAATGGACCACCAAAGACATGCCCTGGGACGAGCTTGCGGCAGCCGTGCCGCGGAAAAACGGCGGCCCGGCTGCCACCGACGAGTTGGTGCCGGAGCTTTTGGATCTAGCCGCCGACCTCCTTGTGGACTGCAAGCTGGAGCTCCATTACACGGCATGCCGGTGCTTTTTGTACTTGTACTTCAATCTCTGCGGCCCAAATGTGCGTGGGCACCGTTTCTGCATACGCCTGACGTTGCCCATCGGTGCCGGGCTCGGGTCCCTGGCGTCTACAGCGGTGTGCCTCGCGGCTGCATTGGCGACGCTAGGCGGGCACGTGGGGCGGCCGGTGCATGGGGCGTCGGACGTGGTTCTCCGTAAGGAGCTGTCTGACGCTGAGCTCATTGATGCTTGGTCGTTCATGGGCGAGAAGTGCTTTCACGGCAACCCCTCGGGCATCGACAACGCTGTGGCCACACACGGCGGTGCCGTGTTGTACCAGCGGATGGCTGACCCCAGCACGCCGCTGATCCGCACAAGCATCCGAAACTTTGCGGCGTTGCGGCTTCTACTCATAAACACCAGAGTGCCGCGCAGCACGGCGCATTTGGTGGGGAATGTGGCCAGCCTCGTGGCTAAGCACGCCAAGTCCACGGCGGCTATCTTGGACGCCATGAGCCACGTTGCCACGGATGCATACCAGCTCATGATGTCGCCCTCGCCTGACAGAGCTAGTTTGCGCGAGCTCGTGGACATCAACCATGGTCTCTTGGTCGCACTTGGTGTGTCGCACCCAAGCCTCGAAGAGGTTCGTGTCATCACTGAGAGACACCAGCTCGGTGCCACAAAGCTCACTGGAGCAGGTGGGGGTGGGTGCGCCATCACCGTGGTAGACGACGCCGTCTCCGAAAGTGACCTTGACAGCGTATCAAAGGAGCTTGCGGCGAAAGGATTCGAGACCTTCCAGGCCATGCTTGGCGGCAAGGGCGTGGGCATGCTCAGTGCGGACGACTGCGCAGACACGTCGATTTTCACTGCGGAGAGTCTCGCTGCTTACGAGTCCAGAGAACACATTGAGCAGCGCATTGGGGCATCGGCTGTGCCCGGGTGGAAATTCTGGTGAGCGCGGAACCGACATTAGGCATGGGGCACGAGAGCTTGTGAAAAGAATATATTGTGCTGAATACACCAGGCAAGCCTCCGGGGCAAGCATTTGCTATAAACGTGTAGTCGTGCCGCCGCGCGCTCAGATGCCTCTGTTGAACTCGACCTCAGTGATTTCGCCGCCCTGCTTGTCCTTCAAGTTGTGGAACTGAGGCTCGAGCGCCAGCGTGCTGATGGTACGTCTCTGAGGAAACACCGCCAACGCGAAAGGCAACGCCACCAAGGAAGTGCCGAAAATCAAGCCGATGTTGACCATGGTCTCCACGAGCTTGGATTTGCCCTTAAGCATCCGAGATTTCTGCAACTTGACCAAGATCAAAGGCGGGATCACCATGATGGGCGTGGCGTTGATCACCCTGCTTGCCGCGGTCTCGCCAACCGCATGGAACGCGGCAGTTTTCGACGAGCCGAGGTCCCGGCCGTCCTTGTCGAACACAGCAATGCCCTTCTTCAACTCCTCGCTGCGCATCAAAAATACGTTGGCCACGCCTGCAGACACCACGGCTGCAAACGGCACCAAGCGGCCCAAGACCATTTTCGTGCCGGGCGAGACGTTCTTCAAGCGCGGCACCACGGAGTTGAGCCCCAAAGCCACGGAGCACGAGGCCGTCACGGCCATCGCGTAGTTGGTGGCGATCTGCATGTTGGTCAACGGGTGGGACTTGTTGGCATTCGATATGTTGATGGCCACGTTGAGCGACTGGTTGGCGATCTGCCAGAACAACGTGCCGGCCGTGCCGAGCCCAGGGGTAAGCATGCCGGCCGTGACTACCAAGTTCGACAAGACGCACGAGCTCATGCGGAACGGCAAAAACACGGTTTCCCCGGTGTCGGGGTGGAGCGTCAGGTCCAAGACCTTTTTGTGGCGCCAGAGCTCGGGCGTCATGTGGGGCACCACGCCGTTCTTGAAGTCCCACACGGACCGCTTGGCTGTCTCGACGTCGTGGGGCGTGTTGAGGAGCATCAGCGGATCTGAGATGTCGGCACAGTGGCGGACGCGGCCGAAGTACGTGGACAAGTCGTACTTGGATGGGGGAAGCGGCACGGGGCCGGGGATGGAGGAGGCCATTTTGGGGGTGCGAGTGTGGGCTGCGTGCTGTGTGTTTTCGGTTGCCTGAAGAAGGGACGGACGGCTGGGCTTGGGCGATTTTTCAGTGGTGCCGGTGTCTCTGCGGCCGGTGTTTCTGAGGCCGGTGTATTAGACGATGCGCTAATGAGTCAGACGCAGGCCGGCTTGGGTGCGGCCGTAGATGGCCAGGCTGGGAGGGAGATTGCTAGATGATTCCTGCGAAAACGAGAACTGGCACAGAATGCGGCCAGCTGCTGTTTTGGTGGGGGAAGGGTGGAGTCATTTGCTTCACTCGTACTTCTGCCAGACTGCACTGCCTGCTTTGCTTGCATCCGGCTTAGACATGGGCTTCAGGTACCGCAGATGCATACAGGACGCCTGTCGTGGTGTATGCAGCGGAGCATTGGTGCCTTGGACATGTGAGTGGCTTCCCGAAATATCTTGCTGGCGGCCTCTCTGGGCAATTTGTGGTTGGAACAAGGGCGTCTGATGGATGTGGGATTTCACAGCACGGGCCGTGCGGTGGTTTCCTGTGATGACGGTGGACATGGAATTGACGCCGCGGATCCATCTGCGTAACGCCATGGAGGCATGCACCGTGCCATTACGCTTCTGCGGCACCTTCACAGATCTGGCTTTGCTCAACACCCGTCATCCATGTGCCTTGGCGAGAAACCAATTTTGCGGAGTATCCAGACTTGCAAGACGGTGAAAATCACGCGGGCAGCGATCCAGAGAAACCAAAGCCGTGCGGCCCAATAGTGCGGCCTCAGACTTACTAGCACTCGTGGCTACGTTCCAAGCCAGCACTATGGCGACGCCGAGAGCCGAGATTGCTCTGAAGTCGCGGCTCCTATCTTTCTGGATGATACCAGATGCCCATTGTGGGTGACTTTTGGGGTCAGCAGGCTGGACCGACCTTGATACGCGGGTCGGGCACGCGACTCCATCCCGCCCCCCGGCCCAAGACACGCGGCCGTGGTGCAAGTGGATCTCGCGAGCACATGGCAAAAAAACCTCGGTGTTCGTCCCCGGTCCCTGGCTGCAATCTTCTTCATTCGTCGGACACGCCGGGCTGGGAGTGCACACTGCGGGTGTCTCAGACCCGGCCCGATGCCAGCAGAGAAGACGAGGCCACGCGCCGGCTTCAGCTGATTCAACGCCCTCTTACTTTTGGACGACAACTTGCACGGTCTCGTTGCATAGCTCTCTTCTACAGCCTGCGCCTAGCAGCCTCTTCTTTCTAGCCTCTTTACGTTTGCTCGTTCTGTGGCCCCGCTCTACGACCTCTTTATAGCCTGGTGATCAGTTGTTGATAGTGTTGACAGTGTTGACAGTGTTGATAGTCTGGCCTCGCCCGACAGCCTCCATCACCCCTTTATAGTGTCCATAGCCCTTTGTGCCAGGCCGTATGATCAAGGCGATCGGCGTGGACTTGGTCAAAGTGCTGCGGATCAGCAGGATCCTCCAGGGCCCTCGGCGGGCGCGGTTTCTCCAGCGGGTGCTCCATGATGCCGAGCTCACTGCACTCCGGAAAATGCAGTCGCCGCAAAAGGCGCTGCAGTACGTTGCCGGGAGCTGGGCCGCTAAAGAGGCGGTGTTCAAGACATTGGACGAGCGCGAGCAGCGCCAGTTCGTGTTCCGCGAGTGGCGGCGGCACCACGAGGCCGGCAGGCCCGGGATCGGGCGCGGGCCATCGGACAGCGGGCGGTTCCTCCTCTCCATCTCACACGACGGGGACCACCTCGTGGCCATGGTGGTGCGGGTGGATCCGCACGGGGCTACGGGGGGCTGATGCTTCTTCAGTTCACATAGATTCCTAATACACAGCTATACTGCGGCCAGCCCGGCTACTCCCATTCGACCGTGGCCGGGGGCTTGGAGGTGATGTCGTAGGTGACGCGGGCCACGCCGTCGACCTCGTTGACAATGCGCGAGGCCACGCGCTTCAAGAACGAGGCCTCAAACACAAACCAGTCCGCGGTCATGAAGTCGAGCGTCTCGATGGCCCGCAAGGCAATGACCTGCTCGTACGTGCGCTGGTCGCCCATGACGCCCACGGACTTGACGGGCAACAACGCGGCGAACGCCTGCGAGATCTGCTTGTACAAGCCAGCCTTCTTGATCTCGGCAATGAAGATGGCGTCGGCCTCGCGCGCGATCTTGACCTGCGCCGGCGTGACCTCGCCCAACACGCGGATGGCCAAGCCCGGGCCGGGGAACGGGTGTCGCCAGACCAAGTCGTGCGGCACGCCCAAGAGCTCGCCCAAGTGGCGCACCTCGTCCTTGAACAACTCGCGCAAGGGCTCGATCAACTTCAACTTCATGTCCTCCAACAAGCCGCCCACGTTGTGGTGCGTCTTGATGGTCTGCGAGGGGCCCTTGAACGAGATGGACTCGATCACGTCTGGGTACAAGGTGCCCTGCAACAAGAACTCGATCTCCTGGCCGGACGCGGGCTTGATCTTGGCCGCCTCGTCCTCGAACACGTGGATGAACGTGTTGCCGATGATCTTGCGCTTCTTCTCCGGGTCCGTGACGCCCTTCAAGCGGCCCAAGAACAAGTCCGACGCGTCCACCACGGTCAAGTTGATGCCCAAGCCCTCGGTCAACGTGCGGTGCACCTCCTCGGTCTCGTTCAAGCGCATCACGCCGTTGTCCACGTAGATGGCGTGGAAGCGGTCGCCGATGGCCTCCTTCATGATCTTGGCGCCCACGGTGGAGTCCACGCCGCCGGACACCGCGCCGATCACCTCGGCCGTGGGGCCCACCAACTTGCGGATGCGCGCGATCTCCGTGTCCACAAAGTTCTCCATGGACCAGTTGGTCTGTGCGCGGCAGATGTTGACGGCGAAGTTGCGCAACAACACCTTGCCGTTGACCGAGTGCGTGACCTCCGGGTGGAACTGGATGCCGTAGATGGCGTCGGTCTCGTGCGCAATGGCGCAGAACGGCGAGTTGTCCGACGTGGCCACGGTCTTGAAGCCGGAGGGCAACGCGTGCAACTTGTCGCCGTGCGACATCCACACCTGCGAGTGGTCCACGCCCTGGAAGAGCGGGCAGGCCTGGTCCTGCACGGCCAACGTGGCCGGGCCGTACTCCCGCTTGTCGCCCCGGCCGACGCCCTTGCCGTTGATCCAGGCCAACTCCTGCATGCCGTAGCAGATGCCCAAGATGGGCACGTCCAACTGGAACACGTCGTGGTCCACGTGCGGCGCGTCGGCCGCGTACACGGAGTAGGGCCCGCCGGACAAAATCACGCCCTTGGGCTTCCAGGTCAACTCCAGGATCTTCTGCGTGCAGGGCAACATCTCGGCGTAGACGTTGAATTCTCTCAATCTCCGGGTGATCAAGTGCGAGTACTGGGACCCGAAGTCCAACACGAGGATGGTGTCGAACACCTTGGACACCTCGATGGGCACGTCGTTGAGGGCTTCTTGTGCAGCGGACATGGTGGCTAAGCGTGGAGTGGTCCCGTGGAAAAAAAAAAAAAGAGGTCTGCGCCCGCCTATCTCTGGCTATATATTTTTTCGCCGATGAGGCTTCGCTTCTGCCTGGACATTGCGCGCCGCGTGCAGGCCTGCCCATGGAACGAGTCACCGGTCCTTTGGCCGGGCTCCTTTTTTTCTTTAGGCCGGGCGGGCAGCTGCGGCCAAGACCGCCTGTTTTCAGGGCAAATGCCGCCTGCCTTCGCCTGGCCGTGTTCCCGTGGGCCGGGCCGCCGGCCGCCCAGCCCGGGCCGCTGGCCCCGCCCCCGCCGCGGCTTCTCCGCGGCAGCCCGCGCGCTAATTTGCACCCAAAATTGGCCCCGCTAATCTTCGCCTAGGCCAGCCGGGCGTCGTCCACGGGGTGTTTTTTTTGTTGTTTTTTTCGTGGCAGGTGGGACCAGGCGCTGGCTGGCGCCCGGGGGCATTTCTGGCCCGGTGCCGGTTTTGTGCCGGCGGGGCCCCGGATCCGGCGCCCGGATTTACGCCTGGGTTGCGGCCTCTTTGGGCCCGCCTCGCACCAGTGCTTGTGTTTTGCTGCTCCACCTCGCTATGCCACTTTCGCTAGCCCGTCCTTGCTACTTCTTCTCTTGCTAGCATTTCTCCGTTTGCTCGATTCTACGCCCGCCCGCTCCTGCTCTTCGTTTGCTGCGGCACTTGCACACCAGCGCCCCATCCGCCGGCTTTGGGTCCTCCCTCTGCGTGGCCCTTGCCGAACAGAGCCTCCCGGCAGCCGGCCTCCGGACCCCAAGCTCCTTTCTGCCAGTGCGTCGGCGCCACGAGCCACCCTCTTTTCTTTTTGTCCTGGGTTTCGTGGCCGCGTCCCGTTTGTACCCTAAGCCAATACTTCCAGAGGCCCCCGTTAATTCTGCCAGGGCCCCAAGCTTTCAGGGTAACATCAATTCTTCAGGGCAACATCAGTTCTTCAGAGCCCGATCAATCCTTCAGAGCCACATCAATCCTCAGAGCCCGATCAATCCTTCAGGGCAACATCAATCCTCAGATCCCCATCAATTCTTCAGAGCCACATCAATCCTCAGAGCCCGATCAATCCTTCAGAGCCCCATCAATCCTTCAGGGCAACATCAATCCTCAGATCCCCATCAATCCTCAGATCCCCATCAATCCTCAGAGCCACATCAATTCTTCAGAGCCACATCAATCCTCAGAGCCACATCAATCCTCAGATCCCCATCAATCCTAAAAGGCCCCATCAATACACTGCCAAACATACACCTGCCTGCAACAAGACCCCAGGCCTAATCTCCCCCAGCCAGTTCCTGGCGCACGGCAAGGCCTTCTCGCCAGCCCGTCCATCCGCGCCCCAACATCGCCTGAAGGCTTTTCAAAAACCGGAAAGAACAGCACCCGGCAGCGAATCCACCCGCCGCCCGTGCCTCGCCACGCACCCCCGGCCGCTTGTCTGCACAGATGCGCCTGTTGCCTCCGCCCCGCCGGACCCACGGCCGGCGGTGCCGCACGTTTTCCCGGTACCTCCGAGCCATGTTGCGGCCACGCAGCGCCTGGGCTCCGGAACCGGCGTCGAAGCGCAACTCGGTCTCGCGGATCCGCCGCTCCCGGCTCGGCCGCATGCGCCGCTCCCGCCTCAATAGCCTCTGGATGTTGCGCCGGTCTCTTTAGACGGGCCTTGTCGGATGCGCCTGGCTGGTGCGTGGAGAGGGCGTGTCTGCGGTTTTGGTGGCACGGGCTCGTGGCGGCATGGGCGCTTGGCGGCTTTATTGGTGATGCCAATACTTGTGGCTCTTCAAGGGTGCTCATATGTGAGGCTCGTTCACATGCTGAGGGTGTTCATTAAAAAGCATGTATGATCTGAAAGGCTCGTTTACATGCCCTACTAGTGTTGGTTTAAGGACACGGTATATCTGGATGGCTCGTATGCTGATGGTGTAGATTCGAGAACAGATACCAATCTGGATGGCTCGTTCACCTGATGGTGTTTATAAAAAAATCATATATGATCTGGAAGGCTCGTTTACAACGCTCTATCGGTGCTCATTCAAGAAACCGATGTCAATTTGAAAGGCTCGTTTGCATGCTCTACTGGTATTAATTCAGAGAAACATTTATAGTTTGGAAGGCTCGTTTAAAGGCTGATGGTGTAAATTGAAGAGAACAGTATACCAATCTGGATGGCTCGTTTGCAAGCTGATGGTGTTTATCAAAAAAACATGTATGAACTGGAAGGCTCGTTTAGATGCTGATGGTGTAAATTCGATAACAGATACTAATCTGGATGGCTCGTTTGGATGCTGATGGTATTTATTAAGAAAACATGTATGATCTGAAGGCTCGTTCACAAGGCTCTATCGGTTCTAATTCAAGAAACCAGATATAAATCTGGAAGGCTTATTTGCATGCTCTACTGGTGTTAGTTCAAAGACACACGTATGACGTCCAGATATACCACTCTGCAAGGCTCGTCTACATGTTCTACCTGTGTTAATTCAACGAAACGTGTATGAAACCCAGAGATGCCACCCTGGAAGGCTCACGTACTTGCTCTACTGATAATAATTCAGAGAGGCGTGTATGATCTAGAAGGCTCGCTTGCATGCTAATGGTGTTGATTCCAATACACATATATGATGTGGACTCGTTTACAAAGCTCTACCGGTGTCGATTCAAAAACCATGCATGCTCCGGAAGGCTCGCTTATATGCTCTACTGGTGTTGGTTCAGAGACACACGTTTACTGCCCAAATCCAATCTGGATTGCTCATTCTTGACACTTTGAGGACCCAGCTCCTGATGTTATCGGAGGCTCGCACTTGCGCCTTATCAGGCTCGTTTATGATGCATGTTAAAGACACTTATTATGGCGCTCATTTCTGGTGCCCATACAAAAGGCAAATTTGGGATACCCACTTGGGACGCCGATCCATATTCATGATGGCGCATTTGATGAGACGTGATCGCTCGGTGACTTATAAGGCTCGTTGGTGGCGCCAATCAATAGACCGCTTTAAATCTGTCTGGGAGATGTGATGCACATTCATGCCGATCCCAGATGCCAAGTCATGAGGCCCATTTAAGGATTCATGGGTGTATCGAGTTCATGATGCCATCTACTGTTGTATTTACCATTCCATCTACTATTCCATCTACTATTCCATCTACTATTCCATCTACTATTCCATCTACAATGCCATCCACAATGCCATTTACCATTCCATCTACAGTTCCATCTACAATTTCATCTAAGAAATCAGCCAATATATGAAAAGCTGAATTTGTCATAAGGTTTCACGAATTAATGTACGTTATTATTCTACAATCAAGAAGGAATTAAAGCTATCAATAGCAGAGAGATTACTTATAGATAATAATGTTTATTTATTTTATTTATATCCCTTCTCAGATTACCCTCATTTTATCTAAGTTTGATTCTTATACTTCTTTTTTTATTTTTTGATGTAACTTTTATCTATTCATTTTCTTTAAGAGTTAGATAAGATTTGAACTCATTTATATTTATAATACCTTTTTAGTATTGTTTTATATATGAATAAGATAAATATAGAGTATTAGGGATAGCTACTGAGAATCGAACTTAGATATATCGCGCCACATACGATTGTTCTTCCTATTGAACCATAGGTATCTTAGGGAAGATGGAATCGAACTATCGCAGCACAAAGGCACTAAAGTTTCAATTTAGTTCTAATTACTACAATGCCATCCACCACTCCATCTAATATTCCATCTACTATTCCATCTACTATTCCATCTA